TTTAACAACTGAAGTCAGATTGGTAGCACTTCTTTCTAAGGAACTTGTAGTTTAAGGACATGGTCATCAAGACACAAGTAACCTACTCATCTTAAGAGCAGAGGAAGAAAGATAAAGGAGGTTGTTAGACGAAGAACATTCCACCTACTTGAAATATGACCTCACACTAAGAAGGCTGCACCTCTTACAAGAGCAGAAAATATTTGCCGTAAGATTGTTGATAGCGCAGTGAAAATGTTCTGCTTACTGACATCAGTGTTTAGACATAGAGGCTTGTCACAGCGAGCAGTAAGTTACACCACTTTGCCATAGCGTGTGCTATAGAAGTTCAATATTGAACAGTCTACGCTGCATCAGAAAGCATGACTCATGAATGTCCTCTAGTCACACTGGTTTTCAAAGTGGGAGGCATGGAGCAGGTTGCCAGCAACTGCAAGAGCATATAGAAAGCAATGATTTGTACACACATATGCACATAAACAGTCTCAGTTTAAATAATTTTCCAACATCCACCTTTTGAGAGACAGTGAAGTTACACAAATGCTTACAAAAATCAAGTTTTAACTGGCTAAAAAAAAAATAAAATATCTCCAGTTTGTTGAATCAGTCCAAGTGTCAGATTGTATCAGAAGTGATAGGGCTCTGAGTCACGTTAACAGAGAAAAGAGCTGCACTGCTTCAGCCCTTCCGGCATCCTACCATCTGCACCAGCCTTCTTCCAGAGCTACTCACCCTGCAACTGAGTTGACAGAAAACATGACTTGTGCCTGAGACACTTCAGTTCAGTCGGCACCTTCACTCAAATCCACCTTTTATGGGAATTTTAATTTGCCTGCCTGAACTGAAGCAGCTCAGGTGCAGACACGTTCCCTCCTGCTACCTGTGCAGTGAGGTCCAAGAAGGAAGGCAACTGGCAGACAGGGGCAGCATTAACCCACAGTAGCAAAGCAGCCAAGCTCATCTACCACTGCTCTGGAACTAGTGAAGCTCGTGCATCCATACAAGACTTGCCATTTAACAACATGATGTCTGGTTTACGCATCCTACTGTGTTAAATATGTTGTTCAGCCTCCATTTTGCTTTCCTATAACCTACAAAAACAGTACCACCAAAGGACCGTAAAGGGTTCTCTTCTCTTTTGAATATGTATACCTAGCTGAATAAAAGCAGAAAGTATGAAGTGCCTTATTTTGCCTCTCTTTATGGCACCAATAAAAGACTTCACACATATGTAAATACAGTGGTTGAACTGGCTAGGTGCAGCTGAGATCTGCCCTTCAGTTACGGATGCTATCTTTGCTCTGGGGAAAGGAATTTGTTTTCCAAGCTTTTCACGCAGCTACTTTTACATGAGCACTGAATAGTTTAAAAAAATATGTATGAATGTGTAATGTGGCAAGGCAAAGGAAAAAAGGAAGTTCAAGACAAAGCCAAATTTGCAAGAAAAAAAGCAAAACAGCTAAATATCACAAGGCTAGAGTTAGGAAATACATTTCCAAGAGAAAACTGCATACGCAAATTTTAAAGACAAATTAAGTAATTTGTAGTGCCTCATCTTGCACATTTTAAAATAGGCATCATTTTTAAGAATACCTCAAGCACGGCATCTCTTTTGGGACCCAAAAGAGCTTGCAATAATTCATGTTACATTTAATAGACAAGTTACAGAAATAAAACTGCTTGTTATTTGCATTCTCTTCCTTCGGAAGGGGAGGGAGGCAGGAATTATAAATATTTCACCTGCTTGAAAGCTTATGGTTTGTTGTTTTAAAGCAAATTCTGGCTTACCTCTTTGAAAATGGAAAAGAACAGTGAACTGATAAAAGGAATAAATGGTAGATGTACTTGGAGTATGAGAGATAAAAGTCAACAGAGAGAAAGGAATTAAACCAGCTGGAATTAGGAGCTGCAAAAAAATAGGCAGGAAAAAGCAAAGAAGCATAAATATGAAGAGACAAAGATTACAAAGGCATGGTTCAATGTCAAAAGCTATACAGGTCAAGATCTATGACATATGATTGCTTTTGGAGAGCTAGGATTTGTTGATTCAGAAAAATGTGTTTCTCCCCTGAAGAGCGTTCCGAAGCACATGAGCTACAGCTCTGGATGAATGGGTGGCAAGAGTAAAATAAAAGGAAGGGGGAAAAATCATGTTAAAGGAACAAATGAAGCCACAAGGATAAAGGACAAGTGCTTATGTTAGCATGAGGCTTTCCCAGGAATTAGCTGTCAAATTCATCTCTTTCCTACTCTCCCTCTTCACTGCCTGCAACCAGGGAATGACTTGGAACAAAAGTACCTATTTTCCAGAGGAAATAATTTTGTTCCAAAGGGAACAAAATTATTTATTTCAGTTGTAGCAAAAAGACCAAACAATTCCAAGAACATGCAGGGTATTTTCCTTTTGAATGACAGTTTGACGTTACAGTTCAGACACACAAGGCACATGCCCATTTAAAAATCACTGCCCCACACATACACAAAGGACTGAAACACATTTCTGTCATATTCTTTAAATAGGTGGTTAATGAGGAGCGTCATAGCCAAATCAGCCAAATAATAGAAGTGACACTCTAACAACTCAAGATGTTATCAACTGATCAATAAATAGAAACTCCAGAATACTAGGAAGAGACGCAATTAGACACTGCTTCAAAGTAACACTGTTTAATCAAAGAGACTCCCTTCTTTTATTTGTAATTTTAACAACTTTCTGAGGTTCAAATGTCACAAACGTGCTGAACACCGTTCTCATAGTCTTAAGGCTTGTTTTTTAATTAGCCTTCAGAGGATGAGTAATAATTTTCTAGTGCAAGTGCTTTTTAAAGACCAAAATCTACCTTATTAGAAAACTGAAATATCATTGCCAACCTCTGCTTTGATTTTGCTTAAGAAGGAGAGTGCCAGTGATACAAGAATGACTCAAGACCAGTACACACACACATCATTTATATAGTTATATAAAGCCAAAAGATTTTTTTTTTTCCCTGCTTCAAGCCTTCTGGTTAGAATAAGCACCAATTGTATATCGAAATGCGCTAGCTTGACTAAAAATGTTGTCCATCGCACATATAGTTACCCTGCAAATAAGTTCAAAGACACTATAAAAGTTGTAGTGTTCAACTCTGGTAGAGCATATAATTCACAGTAGTAATGAAATCAGAAGGTGATGAACAGCTAGCAGCTCATCCTGCTTCAGCGGTTCTGAATCATGCAGCTGCAGAGAATATTTATCTCTGAAGGATCAAAGTGTTAAAATGTATAAATAAACTGTAAATGGTGCCTCAATAAATAAGTTTTACAATCATGGTTATAAAACATTACAGTTTTGATCCTACATTTACATTTCGGTATTTGCGGGAAGTCCAGTGCTTGCCTTCAGAGGTTCTGCTGAAGGTGATGAGACTGCACACAGATGCAAGTGTCAGCCCACACAGAAAAGCTTTACAAAGCTAGGCCTAATCATGGCAAACAAAATAGAGTAGCACCCAGTCCTGATGCAATACTATCAGGTTACACCTTTAATACCTCTTTGAAATGAGGAAAGTAAACACACTTGCAGTACATGGACACCATAATTGACAGTGTTATTTCAACTACTCAAAGGATGTTCAAGCAGCTTCACACTGTCTGCAGAAGATTTACAACTAATAAATCCCTCTAAAATAATCTGGAGCCCACTAAAGACCCATCTGCTGAGCTCACATATGTATTTAGCCACCGGTTACCTGCTGACCATTTTTACCTTTTTTACTGCTACCAGTATGTTAAGATGGTCTACATTTAACTGGTACCATTTAGGGTTTGCTAATGGCACTATCTTCTTCCTTGAAAATGGCAAGTAATGAATGACCTTTGCTGTTCAACTGTATCACTTAGCAAAGCGAACAGAATTTCTGGAGGCAGCGCTGAAGCTTACTTATAAATAACAGTTCCTATTTAAGAAAATATTGAGCTGTATATGTATTTTGAAGAATTTTGCTCTGCCACAAACCACAAATCAAGCTACAATAGTTTAAAACAGGTAAAGTAGCATTAACTCTTTAAAAATAATTCAGTTATTCCTATAGCAACTGTTTTGGCAGTTTGAGCACCTTTGTACTCAGTGCTTAAAAAAAAAATAAGTAAAATAAGTAAATAAAAGCTGAACTGTATTGTTCCTATCAAGTGCCTAATTCTTTATTGTCACGCATAGTTAATTTAACCACTCTAACACAAGTGCAAAAATCAGTATATTTGATTTGCTGTCACTGTGTGTTCCCTTTATGTAGATGAAAAGGACTCCTGAAGAGTCAGAGCACAGAAAAAATCCCTAGGAGGATACCAGAAGCCTGCTTTAAAAAAAGAAAAAAATAAAAATCCAAGAGTCCAGAACAAACATAGCTTAAACTAAGACCAAACTCACATACAAGTTACCATCACAAACAGAAAGTAATGCTGTTACCTAGTGGTGGAAAGCTAGGTACATGCAGAACTGTGCAGCTTTTTTTTTTTTTTTTTTTTAAACACTAACTTGGAATTCTCATCTACAAGCTATTAAACAAGTTCAAGAGGGGAAAAAAAGGCCTAGTATATAAACTAATGAAAGATCCTGCTTTTCTTGCATTCAGTTCTGCAACAAAGGGTCGGTATTTTTGCACCTGTCAGTTTTGATTCTCAGCAGAGTAACTGACAGAAAAGCAGCTACATCATTTCCTGACCATCCCAAACCTGCTGTTCTACACTCCTCTCACAACATCAGCAAGAGCTGGAAACCTGTGGTATAAAAGCACTACAACCTTAATCCTCAAACATCCGTTTTCCACAGAATATAACCAGAAGAGGATCGTGCATCCCTCAGCATCTTATCAGATCATATTTTCAATTATATAAACCAACATTAGCTGAACTCAGCCAGGATTCTCTATGACATCTGGATAAACATGTTTACTTTGCTTTCAGCCAGAAAATAAATAACTAGAGGAAGTGAAGGAACATACGAAGACTTTAACGTCACTTACTCAAATGCAAAGAAGAGTCCACTGGTGACCAAGATGAGAACAAGAGTCAGGTAGAAGACTCCAGTCTGTCGAGCCATCATGATCCTCCCATTGCAAAAGAATTTGTTTCTTCCAGGAAAAACCTCCCATTTTCTCTTGGGAGCTGATTTCTTTTTCTTATGGGGAGACTCCATGGGAGACGAAGAGCTGTGCGTGCTGATCTGACTGTATTCACAGTCTTTCATGGGCCCACTACCACCTCCAGGAGTCATCAAGAGACAGTAAAATGTGGGGAGAACCCCACCAAAAATATATACAATATATATATGTGTAAATATTCTTCTGACCAAGATAACCCTCTCCACCAGCCCCAGTTAATAAAAAAAGCAAATAAAAAGATGAAAAGTCTGCTACCAGACTAGCAATAGGTATATTGGTGTATCATGCAAACACCAGTTAACTCTTCAGAAACCAAAGCTGTCACATCAAAAACGCTTGAGAGGGATCCTTCCTTCCTCCACCAGTTACAAAACAACTGTGTAGGACAATCCTTTTTAAAACAACTTATCACAAAACGAGACCAAAAAAAAAAAGTAATTATAAAGCAGTTAGGCTGTCCAAAAAAATTTAGTCTTTTTTTTCAAGTTTATTTTCAAAGGGGAGGGGCTTTTTTGCCCCCCTTCCCACGCGCACCCTGAGAGATCTCTCCGAGGGTCAGAAGGTTGTTCAAGGCAAGGTTTAGCAATCGAGTCTATCATTCATAGAGATTTGTTATAATCCTCCTTTGCGCTGCAGATTTCACTGCTAAAAATGACCATTCCTAAAACGTTCCCTCACGCGTAACAAATCATTATGCAAAAAAAAAAACCACCACCATCAAAATGCAAAAAAATAAAGCAAAAAAAAAAAAAAAAAAGGCAAGAAAGAAACCAGGCTGCAACTCCCGCTT